TTGTCTGTCATTCTAAATTGTCTAATAGTTGCAATATTTTAGAGTAAGTCTTCTGTACAAATTTCGCGTCCCTAGTGGTGCTACTTCAACATAATGTCCGAATCGAATGCCAAATTTTCGAGTGGTGATGAGAATGCAACTGAATCGGCCGATGAATCGCAGCAGCAACAGCATCCGAGGCCAATCATGGAACAGTTCGTGGTAAGCTGACCTACTTTTCGTTTGGTGATGATGAGCTGTGTTATTGTATTACTCTATTACTGCGATATTCTCCCGCAGTGTTGCGGTATTAGCCTAAAAATATGTCGGCACAGGCAATTCTAAGGGGAGGAGGAGGGGGCGGCGAAGGGTTCCCTGTTCTTCCGACGGCACAGGTCATCAGTGCTGCAAAAGCCCGGGTCTAAAGCTAAAATTAAAGTGAACTAAAACCTAAAGTAACTCCAAACTAAAGTAACTTTAAGTGGCAGTGTGTTGCAACTCTGTTCCTAGTTTTTGCATAGTTCCATGTTAGGATGAGGCTTTTCCCCCACCTGCTTTGCTCCCCTCCCCTCCCCCAGCCGTTTCTTCCCTCCCGTGGCCGGTAGTTCATCCTGGATCCGCCTATATATTAACCGGAGCATTTGGAAGAATATCGAGCTGTATAGTTGAAGAAACTGGTTATGAATTAACAGATATGTCCCAGATAATCCAGCTAATTATGGCTGTTTCATTCCATTGCTTTCCTCTCTCTGTTTATCCAGTTTATCTTAATCGGTGGATTGACTTTTTTTGACGATTTTCGAGCTTTTTTTCAAATTTTTTTGAAAATTAGGTAAATAGACACAAACAATGTGTGCAGTCAGTGGGTGAACAAACAAACAAGTAAACAACGGGGACAGGTAAACATGAAAGATTGGGTAGTAGCTGTATTTCACTGTTTTTTTGTGTAGCAACTGTACTGGTTTCCAGAAACCAACACCATGCGGCCCCAATGAACATCCACTTGAATTCACGTACGTTTTTTCGTATTTCGTACGACCACAAGGTAAATTTGATCCGGAAGACTACGCTTCATACGTACAACCGGTGGCTTCATTCAAATCGGTGGAACAGTTCTGGAATACATATTGCTTCCTGAAACGTCCAGCAGGTTTTTTTTTTTGGATTTCCCGTTGTTCGTTTGTGAACTTTTTGAAATTTCTGACTGCTTTTCCAGGTGTAATGATAAAAGAAATTGACTTTTTAGGCGTTAAAAGTAAGCCGTCCGTTTTTATTAGTGGTAAATAGGAATGCTTATTGCAGCGCGAAGCCTATCTACGGCCAATCCAGGAAAAAAAAAACCCATAAAATTTTCAACCAGGCCCGTTTGGGCAGCCAGAGTTTCTGGTGTCATTTTTTCACCGCTTAGCTATCTGTGTTTACAGCTCAGGGATAAAACACAGGCAGACCATTTCGTAAATATTTCTTTCCACATGACCTTTCAACGTGTCATACGGTTTTGTGCTACATAAACAACCCTACTGTCTTTTCCATCATAATTTATTAAAACGAACTTAATCCTAGGTTATAATTTTCGGACTTTGGCCGTTCCACATTCTTCGGACCGCCTGCTTGTTTTAAAGGCCACGACTCGGCCTACCAGCGACCGCAAATTACTTTAAAAAAAACTTAATCCAACATTCGTTTTAACTTCCTGACTCCAGCCGTTCCACATTTTAATTTTTTTGGACCATCCACTTCTTTTAAAATTGCGATTCAGCCTTCTAACGGCCGCAGTTTATTAGTCCATATGCCAAACTCTATTAGATCTCTGCTAAATTTGGACATTATTTTACTTGCACTGAATAGATGATGGGTAATCCAAACGGGGTTTGCATGCCAAGTATAGTTGCCCTCGGTTTCTGGCAATAACCCAATAACATTACTAACATAGGATACCTAACTGTTTGCTTGGATGCGTGCGGTCTTGGTATTGATAATTTTCACTTAAATTTTAATGAGTTTGCTTTTTTTTTCAAAATGTGTTTTTTTTCAGATATTACGGAGAAGGTGGATTTTCACATGTTTAAAGAAGGTATAAAACCGGTTTGGGAGGATGATGCAAATCAGAAAGTAAGATTTATGCACTTTTTTTTGAGGCTTTTGAACAACCCATAAACGTTAATTTCTTTGGCCTACTTAACTTACTGCTGCTGGCTTTCTTTTTGCAGAGTTTTCAGGATCGGTGGTTATGTGTGGGTTTATTTTCAAAGTTCCTTTTTTTGACTTTTTGCATCAGCTAAAGTTGAAGTTAAAACTTTATTTACGTCTATTCGGCTTCCTAGTGCCTCTGCCCCTCATGATCACTGAGTATGAGGGGAGGAGTGAAGGGGGGAGGGGTTCCTAGCCATTGGAAGAGTCGAAAATTGAGCTTCCCTTTCCTGTCTTTTTTTTTCGGGGAGGGGGACGGGGGTTCAGAAGTCGAAAATAATTCCGTTGGTGAGGGCATTTTGCCAACAGCAACCACTCACTGGCAAGACTGTCAATGGTTCCACGAACTGAGACCCTAAAACCTAACTAAGCTAATGTTGGTTTACCACCGAAACAATCTGATGCCAGTTTATCACCGAAACAAATAGTCCGAAGTTGAAAATTTCCGCAGTGGTAGGTGCGAAACGTGGTTTTTGTGATACTGATATTTGCTTGTTCTTTTTTTAGGGCGGCAAATGGATATTGCGCTTGAAGAAAGGCCTGTCGTCAAGAGTTTGGGAAAATTTATTATTGGCAATGATCGGTGAGCAGTTTCTTGTCGGTGAAGAAATTTGTGGTGCTGTTTGCTCAATACGTAATCAGGTAATTGTCTTCTGATTATTTATTTTAGGAGTCAGTTAGCTATGTACTGTCAACTCATCATATGATAGCGAATGGTACCTCCTAACTCGGAGCAACGGATAATCTATAGTCTAGATCTACATTTATGTAGCTGACAGATTTTTCATTGATTACAATTTTTAACTTTCTGCATTCATTCGAGTTTTAAGATTACGATTAGACCTACTAACGGCCGCTGTTATTATTATTGTTTTCATTATGGTTATTATTATTGTCGTTATTATTATTATTACTGTTATTATCATTATTATTATTATTATTATTATTATTATTATTATTATTATTAT